TGTGTGTGGGGGGAGTAAGATGTGTTTGCATGGTGGTAAAATGACATTATAATAAAAGTGTGTATGTGTGTTTACAAATGGGCTCACTAGTTTTGTATTGGGCAAAATATCCATAAATTAACAAGCAGATACATGGGTAATCTCACCTTGTTTCATGCTACTTTTGTTTTTATCGTAGTATAATTTTATAATTCTCATAAAGCATCTTTCCTTACCTTAGTGTCTTCACACAATGTGCTGGCTTCTCTCGGATATCCCAAACTTTAACAAATGCTGTGGAAACACTGAACGCTAGCCTACTGTACTCACAATAGCGCACTTTTACTACATTATTCGGATGGCCACCAAGTGTTTGTATCTCTTTTAAAGTCTGGAGATCCCACACTTTGACTGTGCGATCTGGGAAATAGAATATTTCACTACTTTAGAACATTTTATACAAAAGCTAGTAAATATTAAACTAGCATGCTGTATTAATATGTTCTAAAATAATAAAGTTAATAAAGTGGTAAAGAAGAACACAAATATCTATAAAATCTTACTAGGTACACACTTCTCTACTTTCCCATAGTATATATGGTTAGAAAATAAGATGTTTGAGAATAATAGTTTTATATAATAAAAGTTCTGATAAGATATTTTATCTGGTACATATACTTGAAATATATCATGGTACTATCACCGTTCAGAACTTTGTGATACAATAACTTATATTTCTAATTAAACGTTAGAAACATCACTCACCTTTGGAACTACTAAAAAGCACATCATCTGTGGCTACCACAGACAAGACAGCTTTGCTATGACCTTCTGCTACATAAGTGCATACCAATGGAGCATTTTTCCCCATTAAGGGCCTACCAGTATAAGGGTTAATACATCCTCTAGAAAACAGGTAAAAAAAATAACCGCGTTTTTAATGTCAAAGGACTAGTAGCATATTAAAAGATCAGTTCAACTTTTAATATAACTGTTATGGAAAATAAATTGTATTCTTAAAATTCATTTGAATGATACAGAAAACAAAATACATACCAATATATCTTCTGTCTGATACAGTACAGGGTTACTACCAGACTTATCAATGCATCTCCAATCAAAAAGATACAGAAAAGTTTCCACATTTTTATAATTATGCAGGATAAACATTACTTAGTATATACTAGTATATAGCTAGAACTTTTTAACTGTTATAAGATTTTCCTACATTGAAACATGCTTAGAAGCAAAACTCAAACACAAATACTGGATATAACGCATTCATTGTTCATATATGGACTGATGCAGAACCATATTAATTAATTATGTTTAGGGGGGAGGGGGGAATGGAGCCTTTGTACAAACTTTAAAAATTAAATAAAGAAAAATACAAGTATGTACATAGAGCCAAGGTGTATGGCACTTCAAATAACCATGAGTTAGTTTGTCAAAGAACATATATACTTAGTTAATAGCCTCCCTTACAGTAAAATAAAGCATATGAGATGGACTGCCGATACACACTGCAAGAATCAATATTGTATTGCACTTGCAACATTTACACAGGAAAGCATAAAAGTCAATTGTCCACAGCAAGTACAAGAGGTGGAAATGGATATTAGTTTTGTTATAAGAGATTTCCAAGCTCTGTAGCTAGAAAGGTGAGATAGAGGCTTTGTCTTTCATTGGTAAACTATGTACATAAAAAGAGTAAAATAAAATATCATTGATATGTCATTGAAACCATGACTGTATATCTATCTATCTATGTAAGCAAAGTGCTCCTTAATCTTGACTTTCAAAGTGCACCCATATAATAATTTAAAACAAATATTTTAGTTAGATTGCAATGTGCTATTATGTTTTTATTGACTGCAATTTATTGACATGTTTATCTTAAATATAAAAGAACTTCCCATAATACCATTTTAAAAACCATATGTATTAAAAATTCAAACACCTTAAAATCAGAATCAAGTTTTTAATTAAACAATTAAATGTTTTTAAGCATTAACATTATATATCTCAATTCTTCTTTATAAACTTCCTTATTTTGTAAAATTGCAAAGTGGCTGGTAGCCTATGAAGTAAAAAAAGGTATGTTATATTGTAGTTGTTTTTTTGCTAAAATTACAATAAATAATTAATTAAAAACAACGTTTTATATTTACACAATAAAAACTTTTATTGAAGCCGTAGGTGTCTGTGACCTGTTGGCAATAAATTTCAACAATAAACAAACAGTACACAGTGCATTTATTTTAAAATAATATATTAAAACAAGTCAAACGTAGGTAAAAATTTTCATCACACTTTTGGTTATCACAGTTGTATTCAGAGTAATTGGACCCACCCGTGTGGACTTTAATAAATAATTGTCTCTTTTTCATTAAAGTCCACAAAGGTGGGTCCAATTACTTTAGAACTCAATTGATAAATTATTCTTCCTGCTTTGTTATTACAATACAATCTGTGAGAACTTCACTTTAAAAATTGCCACTATACAATCTTTATGGCTAAACTCACAATCATGCAATCTAGATCTATCTATTTATCTATATATATATATTTTCAAACATGTATTTATACCCCAACAGAGGCCTAGAATGTTCCACACACTACTAGATATTATGATGCAATAATACTTGATTAAAACAATGAGAAACACTCAGAAGGGTCTAGTAACAAGATGCAATAATACAAAAACTGAACTACACAACATATGATTCGAAAACAGTTGTGTAAATAAATTATCACTTCTAAAAATAACTACATTTAACACTCACATCAATCTTAAACAGTCATATATATATATATATATATATATATATATATATATCTAACAAAAATGAAATGTCAAAAACAGCCTCAATAAAAAATGGACTATTTTTTATAGCATATAATATTAATTCAACATTATCTATTAACTTCAGGAAGTTTTCTATGTAATAATGTACACATACAAGAAGACAAAGAAAAAGTTTAAAACTAAATAAATAACCATTTACAGAACATCATAACACTAATTAAGTTCTAATTTTTAATACAGATATATATGTGCATACATACTAATAAACAGGATTGTTAAAAGATGTTTAACGACTAAGTGAACAGACACAAAAGTATGAAAATACATAGGTTATTAAAACAAACTTTCTCACAGAGACTAACTATGTTGAATAAACTTTAGTTCGTTACAAACAGTATTTATAAAAAACATTTCACACAGCTTATATGTACTATTGTTGCTTTTATTAACTGTAAAATTAGTTGCATGTTTATTTTACACATCACAACTAAACTTGTTGAGTTCAAAACATGCATTTAAACAACAATTATGTTCATAAACTGCAAGTTAAAACCAACTTAACTGTATTTGTGCTCTTCACACTAAAACATAGTAAAAAAACACAGTGAATATTTCTCACCTATCAGGTTTACGATTGTTAGTAGTGGTGCCACTTGTAAGCCGAGAGAAAACGTTGTCTCCCGGCTGACGTCGGCCAACAGGAGGAGAATCGGGAATGGTGAGGTGAGAGCTAGCTTCACTGTAAGTCACAACAACCACACAAAAGTTATATACACAAGGACAGCTAAGTCAAACACACAAAGTTAAGTCATTAATACCACACAAGTATAATACCATTCAAGATGATTCAATGAAGCATTTATGTATGCATAAAACGTTAGCAAACAAGAATAACATTTGACAGTGAAGAGATTCATGCAGCAAATGTAAGAGGATAACAATTGTAAAGTAAATGTTTCCTAGACTATGCAATGTTTTTAATTTATACACAACCAAGAACTATCACATTTGTGAAAACAAAAAAGGGGGTTCTACTTTGTTCAGAACTAAATTTTTCCACATTTATTGTACAAAGATTTTCAAAACTACAGATATAGTCATTCACATATGCAGTCAAACTATCAGAAAATAAAATATTACGACAACACCAACAACAAATTATCACAAGTGATATATATACACACACACGCATGCATGCATACATACATACATGCATATATACACCTGGAAAAAAGTTAAGCACCCCCAAATATTTTTCAGGATTGCTTATTGAAAATAAGGTTTAATTTCATGATGTTGAGCAATGTTCATAATTTCAAACATAATTAAAAGGATGTGAGCGTTCAGGTG